AAAATGAAGAACAGTTTTAAAAACTCAAAATCTCACCCATCCGGGGGTAATCATTATTAATACTTCTTGATTTTTTAATGAAATGGATTTGTTACATTTATAACCTTTAAAAAGTTCATTCTCATCAGTATTTTTACTGCTTACATGGTATTCTATTTTTATGGATATATCATAATTTATTTAAACCAAGCTTCTTATTTTGGATATTTATTTTGTTTAGCGGTTTTTGTCTGTTTTGTTAGTTTGTCTGTTTTAAGTCTTGAGCACAGTTTCTGTAAACACTGTTAATTTAAGTAGACACTCTTTCCTCATTACTGTTGAGCACATCCTATTGCAGGGTTCTTAGACTCAGCCGGGGTCAGAATCACCTGGAAGGCTTGTGAGGCTGTAGATTCCTGAGCCCCATGCCCAGAGTTTAGGATCAGTAGGTCTGGGATGGGGCCTGAAAATTTGCATTTCTAAAAAAGTTCCCTGGTAGTACTGAGGCTGCTCACTTGAGAACCACACTTGGTGAGCCACTTCCCTATATCATACTTCCTTTGAAGAAACCCATACCTCCTGTGTCCTTAAGTCTCTTCTCTTAGAACTTTCTGCAATTGACTATACACACAGATAGGTACACACACTGATTTTCAAAATTAGCTGTCTTTTTTCCTGCATTGCCACTCCCAGAAACCCATGATAGTATCAAAACGAGGATAAAGTTCCTTTTCCTAGACTGCAATTTTATGTCCCTTATTCCCACTGCATCCGGCCTGTCTGCCCCACAAGGTTGTTGTGATGGATAAAATCTACCCAAAATGGACAGAGTAGAAAATTACAGATGCTTGTGAGTTGGAAAAAGCTACTGACCCAGAAGTGAGGAAGCATTACAATTAAACTTAGTATTATTTATTTGTAGGGCAGCGGTTCTAAGCTTAGGTTTTGGATTCCGGTTCTTACTAGTTATATGTGACCTTAGACAAACAACTTCGCATTTCTGAGCCTCATTTTTCTCATCTTTAAAATGGTGGAAATAATACCTTGTTGCAAGGATGTGGCAAGAAATAGAAATAATAAGTGTAAAACAGCTGGGACAGGAACAGCCCTCAATAAAGGGTAGCTGTTGTGTTTACCAAATAATTGTTTTAATTTTTTTTTTTTTTTTTTTTTTTCTGGCTCTTTCTCAGCTGAGAGCCTAGAAAAGCCTCTGTTGCCTCTACAGTTCTTCACTGCCTTGGCCGGAGGTTTCTATCACTTAGGAAGATTTTGGTCACCTGCCGGCGGCGGCGGCCCCACGGGCTTCGCGGAGGCCCTGCTTTTCGGGCATTTACGGCGCGCAGCCGCCCCAGCTCAGGCTCAAGTCTGCGCTTCCAGGTTCAGTTTCAGGGTCTCGCCGGCAGCCCAGCCTGCGGGCGCGGAGCGGGCAGCGGGCAGCGGGCAGCGGGGCCCGGAACGCAGGGTCCTCTGGGGGCCCCGGAGTTGGGAGGCGGCGTCCGGGAGCCCCCGGAGGAAGATGGGCTGCGGACGCAGCAGGCTGAGCAGCTGCAAACCCCCCAAAAAGGTAAAGGGCGCCGGCGGAGAAGTTTGCTTTCGGAAGGAAGGAGGGTGCGGAACCGCTCCACCGCGGGGGATTCTCGGCGCCCCGGGCTCCTGCTGTTCGGCCTGGGATACCGGGCGGAGACTGGCTCTTCGCCCCGGGCTGAGCCGCACCGGGCAGCCAAGTTTGCAAGCACAGCCCCCGGGCCCGGGAAAGGCAAGTGCCTCGGGTGGGGGAAGTGTCTAGTGTCTATGGCAGGTGCCCTTTTCCTTCGTCTGGGGATGTGCTCTGTGTGGCCATGGACAAGTGACTTGACCACTCTGGGCCTTGGGCTTTTCACCCGTTCAGAGACAAATAATCTCTAGGGCCATGACTCGCAGAGTGGTCCACAGGCTTGCAGCATCGGCATCACCTGGGACCCGTTAGAGATGCAGAATCTCAGGCCCTGCCCCAGACCTGCTAAAACAGAACCCGCCTTTTAACACGATTTCCAGGTGATTGGTGTACGCTTTAAAGTCTGAGCAACGCCGGTCTAGGGCCTCTACCAGGCCCCAGAGCAGGTGCATGCGGACTGCCCTTGGGGTAGCTGGGAGGGGCCAAAACGGGGGTAGATCTGCCGCCTTCTGCTGCTCTGTCCTCCCTTCCTGTCCCTCCCCCAAGGGGCCTCGTAGCTAGGTTAGGGCCCAGGGGACTCTACTCAGGTTTCTTGATAATGGGACCAGCTACCCCTTGGGGTCTGACAGGCCCAGAAGGTCAGAGCCTGGAGCTATAAGGACAGCCACCTCAGCGGACATCGGGAGGCACAGAGAGGGGAAGGGAGGACCCTCAATTTATGGTCCTTATTCCTACTACTGCCTGCCCCCCAACCAGGTGGGATAGAGGGTCCCACAAACTTTGTGATCAGTTACCCCTGAGATCCTGAGAAGCCCCAAACTGTGACAATATTTAGTATTTCGCAATGAACTTTAGTTCTCTCTCTCCTTCTGCTCCTGATTTGCTTGTGCCCTGAATACAAGCTTTTCTGCCTATTGGGTGTTCAGTATACTGTCCCCACCCTAAATGATTCTATTCTCTGCTCTGTGCCTAGTCCAGGGAGACAAGGACAATGTCACTGGTTTTCCTTGCTCCTCCTTTATTCCCAGTTTAAAAACCTCACAAGCACTGACCCCAAAACCCTCTTGTCTTTCCTGGCTCCTACAGGGAAACTGAGGCTTGGTTCTCTCAGTGGAAGGAGGGGCTGGCTGACAGAGATGATGGGGTGAGCCTAGCTGGAGACTTGTACCCAGCTGGTGGTAGGTGGATATCAATCCAGGGTGTAAGTCCTGGCTCTGCCACAAACCCCAAGCAAGCCCTTACCACTCTCTGGTCGTCAGTTTCCCCCATTCAAGGGGGAGAAGAAGATGAGCAAGATGATCTCTAGGGGTCTGAGAGCCTGTGTTCTCTGCACTTGTGTCAACCTTGCAGCCTGCCTGGGGATGGAGGAGACAGGAGCCTGTTCCAGGCCTTACTCTTCCGCAGGCTGGTAGAGGAGGCTGTAGTGAGTATGGATTCCCTTGTCTCCTGGTCCTTCTGAGAGCCTTACCAGCTGTCCTGTCTGTCCCTGGCACAGCCTGAACTGGACCCCTATGACCCAAACTGTGAAGGGCAAGTAAAGCCAGCACAGACCATCTGAGTTAGAATGGACCTTGGGTACCACCTGGGCTGATGCACCCAATGTACAGGTGGGAGGTGAAGGCCTAGAAGAGGGACGGGGCGTGAGTGAGGTCACAGAGCAACTTAAGGCAGAACCCAGGTATCCAGTCCCCTAGCCCAGTGTTCTTTGTCTCAACCCCTCCCCTGTGCTTTCAGTGGCTTCTTGATGACTGCAAAGCCCTTTGGCATGAAAGCCTTTACCCTTGTTGCCTCAGGACAGCCTGGTATGTCTTCCCTGCCCCAGCAACACCAGGCCCTGCCCCTGTGCAGCAGGATTTATGGGCTGATTTTGTCTAAAGTTCATGCCTGTTTCCATCCCTCTAGGCTATGCTCTTGCCCAATATCTTACCCAGGTGCCAACCTCTGGAGGGCCTGAGCTCCTAAAGCTCCCAAGTCCATCCCCAATAGGCCCCAATAGACTCTCAGCCCCCTGGGAGGGAGGGGGACTCTAAGGATGCAATGGACAAAAATGAAATCAGGCTGCACAAGAGTCCTGTCGCAATAATAATGACTCACACTGAAAGGCAGTTTCCAGAGTACTTTCACATCCTGGCCAGCCTCACAAAAGCCTGGAAGCGAGGCCAAGCTGTGGAATGTTCCCCACTTTACAGGTGAGGAAACAGGCTCAGTGAGTCACATAGCTAGCTGATGATAAGGCTGTGTAATTGAGCCTGGCTTCCTGCACTCCCCATGAGCTGCTCCTTGCCTTGTGCAGAGCACAAAGTAGGTGCTCAGTAAAGACTTGAGTGAGTGAATGACGGCCAAATAAGAGTCACACCAGGGGTCAGCCCAGGGTGTGACAGGAGTATCTCATCCAGCCTCAAGACATGCAGGAAGGCTTCCTGGATGGAGGTGTTTTTGAAGGTTTGGTAGGAGTTACCTGGTCAAGGCCAAGAGGATGGCCCAAGCAAAGGCTGAGCCATTGGAAGCACGGGGAGGGGCCGGGTGGGAAGGGTGATTCTTTGTGGAGAGTGGATGTGGCAGCAGCAAGGAATGAGGCTGGTGCTTTTAGCGGGCACTGCTCTGGCTAGGGACCACTAGAACTTCTCAAGATCCCTCCAGGTTCAAGGATCTAAGGTTTTCTGAATTCTGTGGTCTGTGGTACCTGTTGACCTTGGCTGACCCCACTGAGAGGCCCAGCCTAGGACTGAGTCACTTCCTTATTGGGACAAGTTGAAATCCTGAGAATGAACGAGTAGGGTCCCTAGCAGACTGGGGGAGGTGGGTGCTGAGGTACCATCTGGATTGTGTGGTCCTTCCTAAACCCTTCTTCTTGGCAGAGATCATGGCTATTGTGGTCATGACCTCTGGGAGAACTCAGAAGAAGGCCAGGCAGAGAGGGCAGGGGCCAAGGAAATAAACCTTCTTTGGGCTTGCCTGCAGAGGGGACATGGGGATCAGGAGGGGCCTTCTCATCCTCAGCAGGTCACCAGCCTCCTTTGGGCGGTGGGGCGGTGGAGGCGCACCTATTGCCCAGCCCCTTGTGTGTGATACTGCGGTGTGCCAGGCACGATGTCTGAACTCTCTAGTCTCCAGGGCTGTGGCTGCGGCTATGACTGTAGCGCCCCAGGCAGAGAGCCTCAGAGAACAGGCTCCAGCAACAGGTACTCAGTGTGGCAGCAGTTCAGTGGCCCTTCCTGAGCACTTCCAGGTAGCAGGCCAGGTGAGAGAAGGAGAAATGCAGAAGTGAACGTGGAGGAGGCTGGCATAGGCATAAGTAATTCTGAAAGAAAGCAGTAGACCCTAAAGGCACAGGCTTTAGAACTGAGTTCACTTATTCATTTATTAACTTGGCAGACATTTGTGTGTGGCCCGCAACAGGCTCTGGGCTAGCTGCTGGTTCAGTCCTGGCTCCACTGAGGATCTGTTAAGTGATTTGGCTTCTCCATGCCTCAGTTTCCTCATTTGTAAGATAGGTGTGATATTGGCTCCTTTGTCATGGGGTTGTTCTAAACATTAGATGAAAGGATGTATGTAATAGAATTCCTGATGCCCTGACCAGCAGGTGGTATGCTGTTGGAAGAGGTAATGAGGTGTAGACTTAAGTATAAGTCTATGTATAAGGACATCACTGCCTGGATTGTACCCAAGGAAAGCACACAAGGATGTGGAAGACCAGGGACACTAATGTCCTTGGAAGGCTGATGTGGGTGGGGCAAACCTCTGAAGAGGGCATGGGAAGCAGCCTTATTCTGTTCCAGAAGGCAGAGCTGTGGCCAGTGGGGGGAAGCAGAAGGAGCCAGATTGCTACTTCTCATGAGGAAGAAGTGGCCAAAAAAGTCTTCAAAGAGTAGTGAGTTCCCCATCGCTGGAGGAGTTCAAGCAGAGGTCAGATGACATTTTGGCAGGAATGTTAGAGGGGATGCAAGCCTAGGACTAGCAAATATTTGGATTACTTTTAGGAAATCTAATTATTCTGATTATTATGTTTTAAGGCAAAATTTCAAAATTTGAAAAAATATGGAGAAACTTAAAAATCACTTTTAATCCCACCATTAAGAGATAGCTACTGTGCACATTTCAGTGTCATTCTACTATTTTTTCCTACACATATAATATACATGAGTGTGCCTGTTTTTATAAAACTGGGAATATATTTTATATAGTTGTATTCTAGTTACTTAATATTCTGCTGGGGGCAGTTTTCCATGTTAGATAGTCCGTGGAAACATGATTTCTTACATGGCTGCCTAATGCCCTGTAGCCATTCTGGAGCTTCTTTAACCAGTTTGGACACTCGGTGGTTTGCATTGGCCACTCCTACCCTTGTTATTGATGGACACCCTTGTGTTATCCCCCTATCCTGGGGCTAGTGTGACTTCAGGCTTGGAGGGAATGGGGGAAGACCACCTTAGAGATATGGCATCTTTGCTGGGTTTTACAGGTGGGTGAGGTTAGACAATTGTGGTGGGACACGCAGGTTATGCCAGAGGTTACCCTAGGCAGAAGGACTATGGGAGCAGGCCCGTGATGCCTGCTCAGCAGGAGCAGGACAAATTGGACCTCTTAAGCTTGGTTTGCCGAGGGTGGGACAAGAAGTGTGGAAGCAAGCTGCCTCTTTGGTCATGCAGAGATGGCACTGAGCACTCTGCCCCAACCATCATGGGGACATTGATGTGTGCATGGCCTCTGAGCAAGTGGTTTTTGCCCAACCCAAAATATAACGCCTTACAAATCATCCCAGCCAAAACCAATACAGGCTTCCATGCATGTGGCACGTGGGAAGACTGAGGTTGAACACCAGATTTCTGTGTTGTAATGGGCCTTGCAACCTAAAAAACATTAGAAACATTCCTAATATTCTTTGCCTTTGAGACACAACCTTTAGTGAC